AGCTCTCACCATACCGCCACAATGAAGCTCTCACCATACCGCCACAATGAAGCTCTCACCATACCGCCACAATGAAGCTCTCACCATACCGCCACAATGAAGCTCTCACCATACCGCCACAATGAAGCTCTCACCATACCGCCACAATGAAGCTCTCACCATACCGCCACAATGAAGCTCTCACCATACCGCCACAATGAAGCTCTCATCATACCGCCACAATGAAGCACTCACCATACTGCCACAATGAAGCTCTCACCATACCGCCACAATGAAACACTCACCATACCGCCACAATGAAACACTCACCATACCGCCACAATGAAGCTCTCACCATACCGCCACAATCAAACTCTCACAAAACCGCCACAATGACACTATACTCGTAAGAAGTATAGCGTATAGTGACCAGGTATACTGAAAGCATTCACGTAGCAATGCTTCACATTGCTGCGACCACCGAACGATGAGCTCGACGTGACGAGTATGTGATAAGAACGTTGTACCGGTACAATGTTTAGCTGCGCTTTCCGAGCAGCAATGTCGGTGAGGAATTTTGAAGTGTCCGAGACCCCATTTAATACCGTTATCGTTGTATAAAATAATATTCTTCTTACGAGCTTTCGAACTCGCTTTTAAAATTAGCTTGATGAAAATTGTCACTTTATATCTGAATGCAATTTTTAAGGGTGAGTCTGAAACAATCTAGGTTTCACATTATGAAACTGTATTATAGGACCACTTGATTAAATAGCAAATTAATCAAGATTTAGCTCCTTTCCCCTCTAAATCATAAATAGACAAGTCTGTCTGCTTTATGTTTATTTGCTTTTTCATTTGTCAATTCAGGTTGAATTATCTTCATTGTGAATTTTAGCATACTAATCGATTCTGCTTGTCTTAATATCAAACTGACGCTGGAGCTAAACTTCTGAACATTTGCTCATATGAACAGATGGTTAATTTTCTGGTCATTTTTTTTGCTTTAAAATTCATTATGAAACTGAAACTGTTAGCATTTCTTTCAACATCAAAGATTTCGAATTTCTCATTTTGCCAAGTGTCCACTGACCAGTACCCGTTTTCTGCAAATTTTCGTGTCAGAATTTGTAATTCAAGAAGTGAAGCTTGATTTTTTTTTAATTCATTCTGTAGATAATTGCAATGTAGTTTGAAGACCAGAAGTCAAAAGAAAGACGACGTCGTGATAAAACTGATGGTCCGCTCATCCACGGCAATGGAACAGGAAATGGCTGGCAGTTGAGACGAGACGCGCGAGAAAAATTGTATCCTGCTTGCAGTTTAAAATAATTAGAGTGCATGCGTTGCAAGAGCTCGAGATAAAGCATGATAAGGCCGTACCCAAGCCACTCTCCTGCATACTATAATCGTGAACGTAAAACAAGAGTAACGGTAACTGTTTATTGACTGTTGTGTTGATAGTTAAGGAAAATTAGAAGATTTAAATTAAATGTTGACTTTTACAATGAATCGTCGAGATTGTTGTCTCAAAACAAATTTAGGCAATACAAACTACGGATCCAACAAATTTAAAAAAAAAGTTCGTAAGAAAACATTCTTAGAAATATTGCGAGGTTTTGAACACGAAAGACTTCGCCCGCTCGGATGGTGACAATCAACATGTTATAACATGTAATAACTAATAACAATGTATAACATGTTATGTTATGTTGTTATCAGATTCAGGCCTTAAAAAATCTGACAAGCTGATTTAAATTAAAGTATTAATAATTGAATTTAACATGAAATGTCAAGAAGAAAAAATTAATAATGTTTCTGTCTAATCTTCACTGACGGAAACCAACCGTGCATACTAATTTATGATAATTTTAAAGTAGGTATCAGCGTTGCAAGAAATGCACAGCAGAATCATTATTAACATAATAAAGAAAATTTATTTTGCTTGTACACAATTAGGTAATAATATTAGCCAAAGAGTTATATGGGCAAGAATCCAGATAACAATCAATTAATTAGGCATGAATCAATTATACGTACAAGAGACGGAAAATGTTGAAAAATAATGCCAAGAATATGTTATCAATAGCTACGTATACCTAAGTAGCGATATTGCTGTTTATGCAGATACGTGAAAAGTTTGTCGAGTTAAGAAAATTATAAAATTGAAACGACAATTAAATAACTATTATCTGTGCAACTGTGAGTGGATCTATGAAGCCTACAAAGGTGGCATGCGGTAACGAGCGCCGGGCGTCCACATCGCGTTATCAGCGCCGCCGCTCAGGCAACACGTGGCGGCGGCTACTGCAGACGCCGGTATTGCCATACCGCTGTAATGTCGTGGCATATGGCAACACTGCTTGCAAGAAACGCGCTAAAAATTTATCTAAAACGCGTGAAAATGTCACAAAATTTAATTTTCATTCGTGTAGCTAAATTATGGTCGATTTTCGTTTGAGCAAACTGCAGCGATAAACAATAATATGTACCCACATAAAAGTTGTCGAGCAAGTTCGTTCAGAAGCAAATATCTGAACGAGTTAAGGCTTTGCTACTGGGAGGAAGGGTAATAAAAGGAGAAAACTAACTTCTACTAGTTTATTCTGGTAGGCGAGCGGGAGAATAATGAATTTATGAGGAAAGAGGTGATGGCGAGAACGGTATTGGGCGAGAATCGAGCGAGTATGTAGGGTGTTAATAGTATCACTTAATAGAGTGCAGACGAGATCATGTAAAAAAATGTGTACAGGCGAGACCTGAGAAAACGATGTACGTTATTTGAATACACGGAAAACTCAACTCGTAATATATATAATGGATTTATTGCAGATATACTTAAATAAATATTCAGATTGGCCCGAATATGGATTATGAGGGAATGAAGGTATTTTTAGGACTTTAGATGTCATTTTTTAATGAGTGAGTCCCAATTGAATCCTAATAATTATCGCACACTGTGGTAGCCGATTTCATTCTTTTTAAATATTTGAAAGGTTGATAAAAATAATTCAATTTAATAAGGTAAGGCTTTTCATCGTGAGTTATACGGGTGTTTATATAACTTGAATTAGTTACTTCTCCAGAAATCGGCTAATATGAATGGTTGTTAAAAATAATTATATTTAATAAGAGTAAGGTTGTTCATCGTGAGTTATACGGATGTTTATATAACTTGAATATGTTCCAGACAGTGCCTAATATTTAATATTATAATATATAATCAGTTCCAGACAGCGCGTAATATTTAATATTATAGTATATAATTAGTTTGAGACAGCGCCTAATATTTAATATTATAATATATAATTAGTTCCAGATAGACAGCGCCTAATATTTAATATTATAATATATAATTAGTTTGAGACAGCGCCTAATATTTAATATTATAATATATAATTAGTTCCAGACAGCGCCTAATATCGGTCGTCATGGCGCGCGAGGTCCTGAAATTCCAGGCGTCAGGTCCGCACCCCGTGACCGCGGACGACGCGGCGCTCAGCCCTCGGTCCGGCTGCATGGTGATCACCCTTGCCTTCCCGAGACCCACGCAGGTGCACCATCATCTAATGTAGATGTGATGCAACGATTAACAGTAAAATTCATAGTGAATCAACTAATTACATTTATTTCTAAATTATGTTTAGGATTTCCATAGTAAAGAAAGTTGCAGTTATAAAATAATTAAAGCGGTTTCAGCGTTTAGTAGGCCGTAGGCCTGTCGCCAATTCTTAACATCGCAGATCATTCACATCATTTTGCGGTCTCGAACACGTAACTCACTGCTACAATTCTGCTGTGCTTAACTGCCCGGCCTCCTTGCCGATTCTGACCAGAAACTGGCGCACAGAGCTGGGATCGAACCCGCGCCTCTCTGCGCCAATCTTGGAACTCTGAACTGTAACCAAAGGGCACTTTTGTTAAGCTTTAAAACTAAAATAGCCGTTAAACTTACAGATCGGGGAGATCACATTCAGGAATTACTACACGTGGGCTGTAGGAGTGCACGTGCTGCGTGCCAACGTCGGAGGCGCCACCAACAAAAGCACCTCTAAGGGTGGGGTGACAGGGAGCGGATTGATGGGGGCTGGGATTGGTCTCCTGAAAGGGGAAGGAGGGGAGTGGAGGGACCCTACGGCTTGGCAGGTTGGGGTGGCCAACAAGGTGATCATGCCCCACCCTCACACCGAGACTGCATCGCACGCGTTCATCTCCATCACTTGTTTGGAGGTGAGTTGCGTAGATCATTAATAAGTAAGAGTCAAACATGGACCAACGCAAGACCCAGGTGCGGCTTGTGAGAAATGATATACGATGATAGCGATGTTGATGTCTGTCAAATTCTAATCTGTCTAAGCGGCGAATAAGAATACAAGGCGGCAATTAGGGGATTTTGTTGAAAAGGTAATTGCAACACTATATAACTCACATGGAATGAAGTAGAACTTATTAACTTATACCCATGTCACACTTGAAGAAATGTATAGAAGTAAATCATTATATTATCCGTGAACTATTTGAAAAAAAAAATAAATTGCAAATTTCTGACGGTTGTGCAGGAAATATTGGCAATGAATTCAAACAATTCTAAGAATCGATTTGGAATTGGATAGAATCGCACGATTTTGAAGTGAAAGCAGGAAAATTCTGGGGGCCAAGTGAGAATACGTAGGCGATCATCAATTTCAGCCCGGCAATACTGGTTAATTTTTGTAGCGTTCATATCATTTAATTTTAACGCACTAAAGAAAATTAATTACTTCTGAGGCCAGTATAAGTTGAAAAGAAAAACTTATCATAAAACTGGCTACAATAACTTATGAAGCCTCATATATTCACGCGAAAGTAGACACATTGCAACTGAAGAATAATAACGCAGATTCAACTTTCTTTCGTGCATACTAGAAATTAATTTAAATGTGATACGAACATTTGTAGTGTAAGCTCTCAGCCGCTAATGACACGATTAGAGGATTTTTGTGTATAATATAACAAAATTGAACGCAAAAGAGCATTTCTAGTTTGAGCTTTTGGCCACAGATGACACGTTAAAACAGTCAGCTTCGCTTTTTACATAACTCCTCTTTAGCTTCACTTGTTGTTTGTTTGTTTGTTTGTCTGATAGAAATCTTCTAATCGATATTTAACATACTTCTAATTGTCCAATCGATCTGAAATTTTGCACACTTGCGTAAAGTCGGAGACAATGCTTGAATCAATTGAGAGAAAAATTAATTGGCAAAATTAAAAAATAATAATAATTTTTTAAAATATTTCAAATAAAATTAATTATACATGTGTAACATCGGAGACAGACGCCTCTTTAGAAGTGTTGTCTTTAAAAATTAATTTTTCGAAGCATATTATTATCCCCCCCACAGAGCCGCGTGGAGTGGCAGGAGGTGTTGGGACTGCGCCTGGTGCTGCGGCAGCCATCACCCGTGTGGAGGACCTTCTCCGTGGACGACATCACCGCATACAGGGAGCTGCCCAGGCTACCCACCTTCAGCGTGTCTGTCCTGCCGCAGCACCAGCAGGTCACTGTCGATAATAATTGTTTCTTAAATGAGTTATTTTGCTGAATTTTGAGTTATTACTATAATAAATTAAGCTTTATAAAGTAATAAAAAATTAAATATACTTTTTGAAATATCGTTATGGCAATTATTCTCGTATGATGATAAATGATTTATTAAGCTGAATTTTGAGTTATTGCTATAATAAATTAAGCTTTATAAAGTAATAGTAAAATTAAATATATTTTTTAATTGTCGTTATGACCATTATTCTCGTATGATGATAAATGACTTATTACGCTGAATTTTGAGTTATCAATATTATAACTTTAGCTTTATAAAGTATTATTAAAATTGAACTGACTTTTTGAACTGTTGTTATGACAATTCTTCTCGTATGAAGTTTTGTTTTTGGGAGGATTTTACAATTCAAGACTAATCTCCTACGTCATATATTAATGACGGGTAATTATAACAGCATGAAACTTCGTATCAATATTTTTTGCCTAATTTGATACCACTGTTTTTTTTTTGTGGGTACATTCATTAGGTAACCCTAAATATTGTTATATATGTTAGTATATGTTAATATCAACATATTAGTTCTCATGATATTGTTACTAACTGTTATTAGTTTTAAGAAGAGTTCATGTAAAACTATTCTGTCAAATGCACGGTACTCATTTATGACAATATGATAATCATCAATATTAGGGCCACATTCGAACAAATCGTTTAAAAAAATTCTTGACTAACGCTCACCTACCTCATTCATCTTTTACTGCGTTCGTCTGCTAAGCTTTAATTTCTCTTTTTCTCTCAAAAATGAAAATGATATGATACATACAGATATATGAGTGTGGCATATGTCCAATATGGCATTTCTTAAGGGAAGTTTGATTCAAAATATTTTACTTAATAATACTGTTCTGTTGCTCCGACGAAGGCGCTGCAGGCGCAGGAGACGCCCCTGGAGCGCCTTATCCGGCAGACTGACAACGCCCTCAGGACGCCACCGCCACGAGCCCCCGGGGCACGGCAGGTAGGCGGCCGCTACTTTTGCTCTATTGTCTCTTCTATCATAAATGAGACCAAATATTACCCGATAATATTATATTATCAGTTATCTTGATAATGAAAATTGTATTTTCGAAACGTTGCATTCTATTAAAATGTCTTTTGGTAACCTACTGTTTGATCTCCCGGCGCCAGCTAGAAACTTAGTTCGAGTCATTGAAAAGACGAATAAGAAGATTATTAATAAGAAGCATGCTCTGGTCTTCAATCAAACTTGCATATATATATATACATATAAGCGATATTACCCATATATTAACCGATATGCAAAAATTTTCCACGTTGATGGCTTTGACAAGTACATGTAAGATCAATCGATTTATTTTCCAGTAAAGCGTGGCAACAGTCACGTTTTCTGGCAGCTTTAAATTTGTGCCTAACTGCCAGTTACATCATTATTAGGTTCAACTTATAACTACTGTTCCTTGGTAGTCTAAATTATATAATTCTGTGGCAATTTTGCATGTGACACTATTTCTGTGATAACTCTGCTGGTGCCACCACTATTTCTGTGATAACTCTGCAAGTGACACTATTTCTGTGGAAATTCTGTCGATATCACAACCGATAGCTTTTGAGCATGTTTAGCAAAGTTATGTTTGACATATATATGCAAACAACAACAACATTGAATACCCCTTTCCTATGTTGGCAAAAACTTGAGATCCATCAAAGAAATATTTTCTAGCGAAATGTTGCTATGGAAGATATTATTAAGAAACAGTTTAATTAGACACATTTATTCCTCTGAACCTGTCAAAAATTTGGGCGCGGTTATTCGTATTTTCAAACTTTAGATTATTGCGTACATAATGGCAGTTGCTCCACACAATGATTTTATATGAATCAAACAAATGATCAATTGATATTTTGCTCATTTTACCCTATTTTATCATTATTTATTAACCTATAAATTAGTATTTATAGCGCATTTTCTCATTTATGTAAAAAAAACGCGCTATTGTGCTTGTCATGTCCGTCTGTCCGTGACTTCACATTTTCGTCGACGAGAAAATGCGCTCTCTGTCACTCACTGTAGTGACTAATGAGTTATATTTTTTATCCAATTTTCAGGACGAGCCAACATCGTTGGTGGGAAACTACGACATTACTTCGTTGCAGTACGCGTGAGCAGCTCAGAGAGACAGTGAACGCATATTGAAGGAAATTTTGCACTCTACATACATTAATTGATTTAACTTTCGTGTGTGCGATCTGAATTGCATTTTGGTAAACTACCTCATTACAATTTCAAATCCTTGAGAGAAAATGAACATTGGAGTGTTTGAAATAGAACCGGTAGAACGTAAGGCAAGGCTGTAGCGACATGCTAACTTGTGATGCAGCACATCACAACACATCTTGCATGTGATGTATTGCGCTAGCTGTAAACTTATTACGTGGTGTGGTGCGATTTGTGTGAATAATTACACGAAGAGGTGCGCTATCTGCAATAGATCGAGTAATATAGTGCGCTGACTACAAATACTTTGTACGACTTCTCGCGTATCTGACTCGAGGGGTAAAAGGTCCGTGGCGAGTGAAAGTTTTCTCAAGAATCGTATGATTCTTAAGAAACGTAAAATTCATTGTAAAGAAACGTGCTCATTGCTCACTAATGAATCGTAGCCTTGTAATCGTCAACCTTTTGTATTTGGTTGAGTTTTTTGCATTAGAAGGAATAGATTTATAACAAATCAAAGGGATATTTACAGTTATTGTAAACCATGTTCTCGATACCAGTCGCTGAAGTAAATTCTGTTAACTAAGAAACTACTGGCACACTAATATAATCCTCATATAGAATATTTTTTATGGAGTATTGGCCTTCGTCCAGAATGTAATCCCCATTTTTGTATACAAATAATTTTTGTTCAAAAATATCAATCACAGAAAGAGCTAAGTTTTTGTCTAATTGTTATTTCTGTGCTTTTTTATAACTAATTTTTTTATGTCACACGGCCATCTTATTTGCACCTAAGTTACCATGTGTTCCGTCAAGAAACTAAAATCTAATCTTGTCGCCACCACATCTACCCGGAGATGAGGTCCTGCCAAGCATTTATTATTTACGAACGCGGAAGCGTTTTTTAGTGCCCTTTACTTTCTATGTAAGGACGTTCGCTGGAACAAACGTTGAGAAAAACGTCCACCTAACTGCAAAACATAGGCGAACTTTTACCCAGAGCTTATCGAATTAGATTGCATTCTGGCAGTTATGTACTCGCTGAGAATAGAATATGTAAAGGCCCTACGTGGGTAATTTGGCCTTATACCCCATTAGAACCATCAAAAATAAAAGACAAGTTACATTAATCACGTGAACACTTTCGTTCAAGATCTATGCAATATGCGCTACTTCGTCACAAGAACTCGTGTAGCAGGGGTTGTACGTGTAGGAGGTGCTGGATCAGAAACGACCACTATAATATCGCGATGTTTGCGAAATGCAAGAACCGATCTTCTTGTGCAAAGGGAAAAAATAGAAAGCTAGGAGAACGTCAGTTTTATTTGCTGCCTGGAGGTGCCAGGAGCAGCGAACGCTAGATAATGGTTCAGGATGCCTGTAGTTTTTCCCGTCAATCCCGAAACACGAGTTGATTGTGGAGAACGGAGTAGCGTAAAAAAAGTAACAATACATTTTCACGAGAGTGTCCTTGTCACACCTTTTTAGCGCATTTTCTCATTTATAGAAAAAAATGAACTATTGTGCTCGCCATGTCCGTCCGTCCGTCTGTCTGTCTGTCCGTGACCTCAAGTTTTTGTCGACGAGAAAATGCGCTCTCTGTCACTCACTGCAGTGAGTACTGAGTTATATTTTTTTAAATCAAATGATTGAAAAAGTTTGTTGTGAAATGTTTGGCTTCAAGTTCGAGAAATTACTGAAATTTTGTTAATTGCCGTTGAAGCGATGATGGAAAGTGAAAAATTAAATCCTACTAATCTTGATTAGTAGGATTTAATTAATAATTAGGATTAATTAATAATTTTGATTGAATCCTACTAATCAAATCTTTATATTTCTTAAACCTTAAATGATTCAGACAAAGTAAATTGCTTCGCAAAGTAAAAAATAAGATCCGCAGATGCAATTGGCGCGACCTCGTGCACTAAACTTGCAGAATGTTTTGTTAACAGCCACAGAAGCAGAGCTACAAGGAAACAACAATTGCAAAAACAGTCACGTCATGAAAAGATAACCAAGACTTTCCGACCCAAACCTGGAATTTTAAACCGTGTAGTATTGCATAGGAACAATTATACCTGAACTCGGTACGATGATAACGTCAAATTAAGCAGTCTGACAAGGGTGATCTGATTGAATCATCAAAGTTTTGGTACATTCGTTCATAAGCGTAGATACTTCATATTAGCGGGTTGTAAGCGAGTTTAACTGTACATATTCTATAAGATTATCATTTGTAGAACACACTGAAATTTAATTTTTTTGAAAGTCGAAACTTAAAATTCCCAGTCTTTAACCGCAGAAAAAAAAAAGGAACCAGATTTAGGTAGAAAATCAGCTTCGTCAGATCACGTTTACAAAAATTTCCCCTTAGATCGGACATGAGAAATAAAGCAAGAAAAACAACTGTTTGGAGTGTTGAAAAACGGTAGCAAAAAGAATTACGATCGAGATTAAGAATTATTCTCAACTTGCTAAGGCTCGAACCTACGACTCATGGCTCCCGTCAGACAGGGAATGGTCGAACTTAGAAATAACATCACGGGAAATTCTCAGCTTGCTGGGGCTCAAACCCCGTATTCCTTGCTGTCATCTTACTAAGAGTGGTCACGCCTAGAAGCCTGCAGTCATGAGAAACAGAGCGGGTACGGACGTTGGAGCGCGACTAGTGTGATGTACAGTTCAAATATGTAAGATGTACTCCATCAACGGCGTTAGTCATTTATTGAGTTGCTTTCGGAGAGAATTGTGCAGTGTTTTTAAATGGTTCGTTTGACGAAACTTTCAAAAAATCAACGAAGGCTAATACATTTTGATTGGTCGCTTGGTGAGTACAATGGATTACATCAATAAATAGCGTAACAGACAATATAATCTATCAAGATTTATTCTACAAGGTCACTTATGACTGATTAGCTTCTCGTGTTAACTGATTGTTGATTGTTCTTGCTTAGATGCTCAGTCGGCGCTCCTTGGTTAACCTTAAAGGGGGCGACGCATTTGTGGCATAGAAATTAAGACTACAGAGAATGGCGTGAGTGGATGGTGAACGGCGTTCTATTCATTAGGCTCGGTCAATCCATTCGGCGTCAACGCGGAAGGTCAATTAAAAAAATCAAACAAAATATTTTAAATAATTAAAAGAACATTTGAGGAACTGAAATCAATATACAATAATACCTACATAAACTTTATACAATTCGACGCTAGAAACAGCAGACAAACGTATGCTTAATAAGAGTGCTATAGATTTAAATTCCAGCCAATCGATAATTCGTCACCAATAGGAAAGCGAATTAAATTACAGGATTAACCAACTCAGGACGGCACATATGGTCAATTTACCACCATCACTTTCAACCTCAGATCTCAGAACGCGAGGTCTTTCACATGATCACATCAGATTAACATGAAAGTATCAAATTCCTTTCACATGATCATATCAGATTCATTTCACATGAAAATATCAGATTTCTTACACATGATTATAACATATTCATTACATATGAAAATATCAGATTCCTTTCACATTATCATATCATATTCCTTTCACATGATCACATCAGATTCATTCTCCTCAAAACCTCGTTCAAAGGCTAGTTCATCGAAACACCCACAACAGATTTCAACGCGCGTCAAAAGCAATCGCAGTTCAGAGCTACAGAATAACATGGGATTTTCGAGCCTAAAATATGGGAGTTGGAGGGAGGATATTTTTGCAGGGCAGCGCCTGCTCCAGCGTCCGGAACTCGAGCGCGCACTTGTTGCGAGCCTCCAGTTGACCAGCGGCGTGCCACACGCGACTCTGCGATCAACAGATAAGTTAATAAACGAACGTCTGCAGCACCACGTACGTGCGAACAATTACACGCGAACGTGCGGACAATTGCACGCGAATGCGTCATAAAGGTATATCTCGCATGGATGGATACAATTTTCTACCTAATAAGATTCGACAAATTTAAGAGTTAATGAAAAATGAGAGTAATTTAACACCAAAATTAATGCATGGTGTATCACAATATATTTCATTAAAAAACAGAGTGTAATAGTCGATAATATTTGCAGTTCACCCGAAAATCTGCACGTAACTCACGCTAAGATAGAGCGTGTCTCTGACCCTATGTTGCGCTTCCACCTTCACAAACATGTTCTTGACGCGCTCCAGATCTGCACCAACGCGACACAACTTTTCAGCACGGCCGCCGCACGCCAGGATCCTAAGTTTGGCCAGCAACAGCAGCGATCTCGCCTGGTCGTAGAGGGAGCCGCTCGCCATGACGATGGATAGAGCTCTGTCAATCGAATCTGCGTCCACTCCTTGCGGCACATTGTAGAAATTGTAAGCATGAATGCTGGGGTTGTTGAGTCTCTCATAGCTCTTCGAGGGCGAGGAAGAAGACAGCAGACCAAGTTGCAGCTGTACAGCAATAAGCTGCAGCGTGGCCAGGCTGTGCAGCAGCGCCAGGTGGTTCTCAAGCGCCAGGGACACGGCGTTCACGAGAGTGTCCAGCGCCCCGCTGCAGTTGCCGGCAATGCACAGCGCTGAAGAATACAACAGATAAACCTGAAACATAAAAAAATTCTATTAAACCCATGGATAAATTTAGTCGAAACTTCATGTAGGATAGAATGAGAAAACAACTTGAAAAAAAGGAGGAGTCAGCAATGAAGAAAATTGGCCACTTTTTAAGGCAGTCAATAAACCTTACTGGAATTGGTCACAAGGAATGCGCACAAGGAAACGATGAATGCATTCATCCGGTAGCTGATGAAGGTTCAGTTTGATCAACTCACATTTCGACGATGAATGTATTCTATCAAATGACGCGTGCATTTGTCATTCGAAATATCGAGATATTTAAACAGTCGGAAGCTTAACAATATGGAGGATTAAACAAATTTTTTTCATTGCTGACTCATCCTTGCGGGTAAGGTGCCCAGAGGTTACAGTTCAGAGTACCAAGATTGGTTATTAAAACGACGAAATAGAAAAATATCTAATAAAATTGTAGGTTTCAGCTAAAAAAATGCACATAACTACTCAAAAGGAATTACAGAAAACTTGTAAAATGAGTAAAAGTAGGTAAACCGTTCAAAAAAAGTTATAGGAGCACAACAAAACTTTGAATATCTTCATCGGAAGGAGAGCACGGAGTTTTAGCCATAAATTTCTACATAACTTACACTACCACGCATGAAAAAAAATAAACGCTCCACCAGTTCAGGCCTGCACAGGAGATTATATTGGATTTGTTTCGAGTCTTAGGCGATTACGCAAGATGGGCCTAGCTTATCAACCTTTAATGTTATTAATTGCCATTTCGATATCTTTATGCCTTGAATTTTTCTGACTCCAAGGGAACACACTTAAAGGCCAAGATTTTTTTCATGTTTAGTGTTCGGGTATGATGATGAAATTACTAGCGTAGAATGACATCAACTCATTATCTTATACTGACAGTCTCTCGTTGCCGTACTGTCAACAAAAATATCTAAGAGTTCGTAAATCCGTGCGCCAATTAGTGAAGGCTTTTCAAGTTAAACTCACCAATCACAGATGAGAAATCGGCGCTAAGTGTATTTTTAAAAGCGAGGTTTGATAGTACGTCCAATAGCCATTAATGTCATGTTTCATAGTACGAATAGAATTAATGACAGTTAACGTGTCGGAAGACGAAGTGTTAGTATTTTGTCAATTTAAGATAAGTCACGTAACCAGGCGTTCAGATACGAATATTATTGACGCTAGTTAGTAGACAAATGGTTAATCTTTAGTCTCCAGACGATGATTCAAATAACCAAGCGTGTTGGTCTAAATAGTATTAGCGTTAGTTATTAAGTAGACCAAGCGCTAATTTACAAAAATAGATTTACAAAACGTGAAAAATAATAGATTTACAATTTACAAAACGCAAAAAAGAATAGGTCCATCATTTGCTTCACCTGCACGAGGAGCTGAGGTTTCTCAGCGACCTCCTGAGAGCTGAGGAGCTCCGTGACGAGCTGCAGGGCGCACTCAGACTCTCCCTGCGCCACCGCCACCTCGCACGACCTGCGCACACACAGCTTCATTATGAACTTTTGAACAAACAATTACCATACTCCCTGAATACGGCTTCATTTATTTTAGACTATAATTGATATGACATGTACACAAAATCAAGATGATAACACGCGATACAATGAAAAAATTAAACTAGTTTTGATCCAGAGCATTGCAGGGTATAAAAAATCCACGGAAACACTGCCTGTTAGCGCAGTTTATCCAACAACAGCAATTATACGTTGAAAAATAACCTTCATGTGTTAAATTCAGGAATATAATAGCTGTATAATCATACTCTCGTTCGGAGTTCAACTCGCCTAATTATGAAGTATGAAGTTTGTAACTTGACTTGCCTGATCTTAAAGTACGCAGTTTCATGCACACTTCAACTCGCCTGATTTTAAAGTAAGCAGTTTCATGCACACTTCAACTCGCCTGATTTTAAAGTAAGCAGTTTCATGCACAATTCAACTCGCCTGATTTTAAAGTATCCAGTTTTATACACATTCAACTCGCCTGATTTTAAAGTAAGCAGTTTCATGCGCGGCGACAGGAGCGAGGGCGGTGAGCGCCTGCGCGTAGCTGCCGAGCAGAGCGAAGCGCGAGCACGAGACGTGGGCGCGCGTGAGGCGCACGTGTCGCGAGTGTGCGCTGCCGCTGCTGAAGAGCGCCTGTGCGCGGGACAGTAGCGCCTCACAAGCGCTGTATTCGCCCTGCCACACACGGGAACATCGTTTGAAAATCGGACATTATTCTGGTCATGAATAATATAATGGCTGGATATTTTAAATTAGCCTCCTTATTATAATGACTGGATTACGCACGAAAATCAAAAACTGATCTTGATCTAGTTGCAAGCATAAGAAGGGATTTCATTAAAGAGAACCACTATGTATTTCATATACAATAATGAAAATTATTTCACTTACGTTAATAGGCAATAATCAAGTGCCATAAAATCACGAACCATTATGAATAAAAATATTGGACATGATTTTGTGTGCGACAATGCAAAATGATTTCCACCATGAAATTTTAAATCATTGAACGTGCACTTGAAGTCAACCAATATGGGAAGTAACGGCAGCCAATATGGGAAAAGACGGCAGCCAATATGGGAAAAGACGGCAGCCAATATGGGAAGTGACGGCACCCAAGAAGGGAAGTGACGGCAGCCAATATGGGAAGTGACAGTAGCCAATATGGGAACTAACAGCATCAGCGAGCGAGGCAGCGATGTTGCAGAGAGCGGCGGCCGTCTGGCTGGACGCGTAAGGCACAGATGGTGAGGCGGGCAAGACAGGTGGTGCATGTAGGACCAGCTGACTGCACACAACAGACATGCTGCTGCTGTTACCCAGCCACTGGGACCACACGCCTGCCTCCACTGCCCACACGCCGCCCACACAGCCCACTCCTCCGCCACACACGCCCACACAACCGTCCACTCGCGACACCAACATCTGCACAAACAGAGGATAATTATAAAGAAAAGTATTCAGATCAAAGTAACTGCGGAAATGATGGTTACAAGTTTTATAAATTAGATACATAAAGTAAATACAGACTGCATTTTTAGCGCATTTTCTCATTTATGGAAAAAAGGCGTTATTGTGCTCGTCATGTCTGTCCGTCTGTCCGTTCGTGACCACGTTATCGTCGACGAGAAAATGCGCTCTGCGTTGAGTACTGAGTTATATTTTAATATCTATCGCAGTGCAGCTTCTCCTGGCATGTCCACAACACCGGTAAAGTCAACATCACGAGTCAACACATATAGGAACAAATTTGCTTGAAAATGAACTAAGGGCTAGATTACATGGATATAAATGAAGACGTTCATAATAACTAAAAATAAAAGACTGCAGGAAGGCACGCGGTTACCTGGAGCCTCTGAGCTGGCGGCTTAAGTGAAGGTAGCGCGGCTTGGTTAACTAAGCTGAGCCAGCTCAGGTACGGCAGCTGCAGACTCGCTGAACGCTGCACGGCGCTCTGCACCAGCGCCTCTCGCTGAACATCAATTTAAATAATTACATTCATGAATTATAAGAGAAAAAGAAGCGACACTTTCATAGATCCAACAAATATAAATGTGACGAGGATCTGGCTTGCTAAATGTTTGTGAAGAATTATTTATATGCCAGGAAAAAATAGTTAAGTTTTATAATTATCATTATGATACTTTTTGATCAAATAAACAAAAGATAAAAGATAAAATTTCAATGCTTGCTAGTCACACGGCAGGTTTGGTACATGCGTAGCAAGGACAACAAATAAATTGAGAAGTCCTGCACTATCGAAAACTTCTGATCCAATCCAACTAGAAAAAAGCATTTGACACTCAGTACTACAAAACTTAGAATCCCCAGCGGGTATAGGCGATCTCGTATAAAAATAGCCGCTATTCGTGAATAGCGTCGAGATTCGTGAATGTGGTCAAGTAACATATGACGCACAGGCATCATCAAGTATCAACACGTAATAATTGATGAACGTCATCATCATCATCATCATCACCATCATCTTCATCGCCATTCCCAAAATAATGAAGCAGCCTAACCTTGTGAGTGGGAGCGAGCACGTAGAGCCAGGCGAGCGCGTGCTGCAGGCAAGTGTTGTCAGACGCCTCCTGCGAGTGTGCGATCACTTCTGACACGCACCGCAACGCCACAGACCTGAGTAAATTGTACAGAAATTTTATTATTGTCGAGCTCTGTTTATTATAATGAGAACAAGATTATTACAATCGAATAAATACAATGATGGATGCATGACAAGCCTGCCTTCTAACATGCACCGTAACGCCACGGACATATGTAAATTGTACCTAAATTTTATTCTGAGCTCTGACAATTAGATTCTGTAAAAAACAGCATTCTCCTTGAATATAATCATAAATAAAATTCATTACATCAAGTAGATTGCATGTCAAACCTTTCTCCAAACACGCATCCCTATGCCTTTACTGACAGAAGAGATCACCCGTCAAGTGAGCTGTTAAATTCCATTGCTACTGAGTGGAACAGCCCAAATTACTGAGCTGCCATATATAATTACTAGATACTCCAATAAATGCATTGATTTCAATTGAGCATCAAGGGTAAATTGAGTCACCGGACCAAAACCCATTTGAAGCAGCAACGATGAGGGAAAAACATGCGGAATTCCCCTTTGTCAAGATGAGCGAATAAATTATATCAAAGAATAAAAGTATGTATTTTCTGATCTGACATCAGAAATTAGCGTTCAGTATTGCTTCTTGCGTTACCTGCTGCCGAAATGTGAGTAGAGGGCAGCCATGTTGAGAGCAGCGTACCGCAGCGACCGCGGCGTCGCTCGGGTCACCTGAAGTCAAAATTTTATATTACAAACAAACTAATATTATTACAAATCAACAACCCAACCAGACGTTGCTCCGATAAATACATAGGCAATCACCGCTGAATAACGTTGATACGTTTACAACACAGTGAACTCAAATCAAGAAACATCATTCAAAGTTTTCAAACCTTCATTTAACCTTCGTTTTATGATGTGAATGGAATGGAATTTATTTCACAATATCGAATGACATTTTATTTCAAATTTGTAATTCATTCTACACCCCTCCCACAGAATAATTTCAAAGATGAGAATGGGTGTAATTTCACGTCCAAAAAATTTTCCGCCATGATATGTAATGTGAATACGTGGCTGAGGAAGTCTTCAACAAACAATCAAACTTTCAAATATATCAAAATAGATTACTATTGGAAATGACTTTTCTTCTGTTCAAATACAGTAGGGGTGTATAGCTAAGGATTTAATGCAGGAGATTTACAAATGTATAAAATGTGTTTAGAAGTATAACACTTTAAAAAAAAATTCTAAAATTTCTTCATACTTTTTTATGTGTTTAGAAATATAACATTATTATATTTTATTCATTATCAACAAATGAAGCGGATAGAACCTGACCTGCTGACAGTCATAGGCGGCAGCAAGGCTCTCCATCGCGCCTTTCGCTTCGTTCACGCGCAGGAAATTCAGGCACGACAGGTAATGCTGCAAGGGACAGAGACATGGAACTATTGACATATCAAGTTATTCACGTACAGATCAAGTTTATCCACACAAACGTGTGCTACGAAAATTATAACTTGCATGAACAGAAAATTAAGGGTTATGTCGTTATGTAACCTGGATGTCAAGTTGATCATATTCTGAAATGATTTAATAGCAAAAAGCAAAGGAATACTGATGCACACAGATATTTTTAAATTCACCTTCATTTCATCTCGACTCATTAAATGGCAATTCTCAAATAAATGCAAATGAGCGTTTGTTCTCTGTTGAGGTCAGGTGCCATTCGTCTTTTTTCTTCGTCAGTAATATATCAGAGCAATAAGCAACTAATAGGCGAGTTCGATGAACGCCAACGAAAAGACAGCTTTTAGCATAAAGGTAAGGTTAAACTAATTTCATTAGCGGAAGAAATAGCGTGAGCATACCACGCAACTGTCAGACGAGCTGAGCTATAAGACATGCAACTGCTGACAGCAGAGCTGAGCTATAAGACATGCAACTGCTGACAGCAGAGCTGAGCTATAAGACATGCAACTGCTGACAGCAGAGCTGAGCGATAAGCCATGCAACTGACAGCAGAGCTGAGCTATAAGCCATGCAACTGACAGCAGAGCTGAGCTATAAGCCATGCAACTGACAGCAGAGCTGAGCTATAAGCCATGCAACTGACGGCAGAGCTGAGCTATAAGCCATGCAACTGACAGCAGAGCTGAGCTATAAGCCAAGCAACTGACAAACGAGCTGAGCTATAAGCCAAGCAACTGACAAACGAGCTGAGCTATAAGCCATGCAACTGACAGCAGAGCTGAGCTGGGGGTGCACAGTAAGGATGCGCTGCAGGATGGTGTGCAGTTCCCTAGCAGGCAGCGCTGAGGACTCATTGAACTCCAGCAGCCTAGTCTGCTCGCCAATCAGCTGCTCTGCCTGCTGGATGCTCCATGCGCACTCGCTCTCTGTTAAAGAACTTAGTATTAGAGCTAAATGAGTACTTTTAGTCAGCCTTCAGCAGGTAAAATAATTGTGCTCAGGGTTAGTAATGGCATCGACTGCTTGACATTGCCACATGATTCTGTAGCATACAACTCCACTCTGATGTATAACAGCTCGCACAGGTTGTACACAGTTTATTAGGTTTTGATTGGAATGATGAATTTTATTCATTTAACTCATCACTGCGCCAAGAGTATTGGTCAATGGCGCCAAGTTCCAGATTGTTTTTTTATAAGAGCTCGTTAGAAGAATTGATTTCGTGATCATGGTCATAAAATTAATTCATGGTCATTAATTCTAATAATTCATGATCGCTCACTCATGGATTTATGAGAAATTACAGTTTTGCACTAGAGGTGCTTGATCGTTGTGAACTACAGCAGCAATGTCGTGACCTAGAGCAGCAATGTCGTGACCTAGAGCAGCCAGGTCGTGACCTAGAGCAGCCAGGTCGTGACCTAGAGCAGCCAGGTCGTGACCTAGAGCAGCCAGGTCGTGACCTTCGTGACAGAGCTGCCATGTCGTGACATAGAGCTGCCATGTCGTGACAGAGCTGCCATGTCGTGACATAGAGCTGCCATGTCGTGACATGGAGCTGCCATGTCGTGACAGAGCTGCCATGTCGTGACATAAAGCTGCCGTGTTGTGACCTAGAGCTGCCAAGCTATGTTCATGCTAAAGCTCGCTGAGGGAAGCACACCTTGCAGCAGCAAGTCTCTCCTGAGGACGTGTGGAGCGTTGCTCAGGCTAATGTCTCTGACATCTCCGAGGCTGCGGGTTGCGGCTCTGAAATTCAAATTCAGAGTTAAGTTCAGTTCCGTTAATTCAGACATCGTATGCAGCATAATATATTCATTCAGCTTGTTCTTAGCACAATTCATAATTTATTGTTTCTACACATGTTCAATTCAATAATAGACTGCAATGCCTGTTAATGTTAATGGTAATATTGGGCGTATTATTCCACAGTTACCACATTAACTTGATATCAGGAATATTTTGTGTTCCTGAGTAGTTCACTGGAATAGTTAACATATTACACAGCAGAAACAAGCTAACTTGAGATCAGAAATATCTTGGTTATTGTCAACGAATTGCGAGTTTGAGGGGAGCGAAGGGGAGGATGGAGGTGAGGCCATGGAGATGTCCAGGGCTGTTGGCAGGCTGAAGGCAGACTTGGACTCGGTGCTGTTGTTGCAGTCCATCTGTGCGGGATGAACGTGGTCATAACAACTGCTCGTGATGAGGAGATTTGACACCGCAATTGACTTTTCTACCTCTCTTCTATAACTTTATTCAAGTGACTGATGGTAAAATTTTCTGTTAAAACCCTGTTATATCTGCTCACAGGCAAATGAGGACATGAGTTTGTAAATAAAATGACGCTCTCATTCAACACTGTTTGCTGTCAACTAACTATGACTTAATTAGACCAAGGAAAACAAATAAAATAAAATACTAGTACACAACTGCAGTGATGGGAAGTTTTGACAAAAACTTCAAATTTCAGTCATAATATTGATCGTCAACACACACATTTATCATAGTCCAGGATGCAGAACTCTTCTTTGTATGCCAACCCTAAATAGCATCTAGCCTGTGATTTTAGGTCGCTTTTCATGAAGTCAAATATAATGAGCAAAAATTTAGAACACTAATAATCTCATTTATATACAAACCTTTGGTAAAGTTGTGCAGTACTGAACAAACAGAGAGTGCAGAGTCACCACCTCAACGATAGACAAGCGTTTGTACAGGAGATTCATCTGCCGCAAGTACAGCCCTAAAAAAATGATGTCAAGTTATATATTGCTTTACAATTGCATATCATAATTTCACTGAATTACTTAAATGAACAGCAAATTCAAACATGCTCAAATTATTATTTCAGGAAGTAGAAAACATTAATTAACACTACTTATTTGCTTTGTATTTGAAAAGTATTAAATTGGCAACTTTTTGAAGGCTCAATTGAACAAAAAAACATTTGAAAGGTAAACACTTGCCGCAGATTAATGGAGGTAATGTCTATGAATGCAAAAAAAAACTATGAAATTCAACCTAAAATCAGTAATTATTACAATCAGTATAATTATGAAAAACAGTAATTATTAAAATCATTAATTATTAAAATCAGTAATCAATTTCATTGAACAAAAACAATGCCCTCAGGATTAACATGGATTTCCTCAAATTTACAGCTCAGGCACAACAAATTGCCCTAAACAGTCTAAAGTAATTGAATGAAATCTTTGATTTACAAGATACATTGGTCAAAATATCAAATCCAAACAAAGGCTTCTAAACAATAGAAATATTTTAGAAGTTATTCATATTTGGGATTCATTAACAGTTTGTTCAGTGATACTTTGTACTGATGCATACTATGCTTTCAGAGATGAATAACATTGATAGTAGTCAATGCATTCATAGACAAAGGGTTAAATCTAAAACTGACCAACAATGCTGGTCCAGAGACAGGGCAGTGAGTCAAGGCCGTCCTGCAGCACAGCTTTGTGCACCGTGTCAAACAAACACTGTAGCCCCTCTACGCCCTCCTCCACCACCTTGGCAATGTAGGCAATGGTAAACACAATCACCAAATTCAATTTTAAATGTACCTATTAATAGGTTATGGTAAGGGGTAACCAATGAAAAACTGCTGTAAGAATTTCAGGCTATAAAGCTCCAACAACATAATAAAGAGGTAAGCACAAAAGTCCTGAAGCTGCAAAGGATAAAGGTATTGTTGAAAAAGGTAAAAAGGCACAAGTGAACATTTTTGATAATGATCTTCTCTTCCAACATGCACGGTTTTGCCTTCAGTTTTTTTTATGTTAATTCAGCCTTCATAGCATTTTCTAAGCCCTCAGAGTCACATCCTAATGTCTGATTTCCTCCATAACTAAATAGCTAAACTTTATTAAGGAATATGATCAATCTAAGACAATCTAATTCTTGTCTATGAACAATCAACGTTTCTCTCTGTAGTGCGTGCACTGCTGATAGTCCTAGTTTAGCTGCAGATTAGGGCTTGGTGATGGCTTGATACACGTCTCTTGTTTGTTAACACCTCCATCATTTTTGCACTTAATCTTTGGTCTTGGATTACTCAGAAATGATGACTTTGTTGAGTGTATGCTAAATATTTCCAAGAAGGTGAGTATACACCCAATTTTTTGTGGAAGCTTTTTTTCTCCTTATTAAACTGTCAATATATATAGTATTCATACATAAAATAATATATAATCTTAAAAGAAATCCTTACATGCTTCATAGCTCTCTTCCATGCTTCTACATGTTGTCTGTCAAAACATTTGTTTTCCACAAGCTTCAATAGATTTGAAAACTGCAAATCTCCTCCCTGGAACAAAGAACACACAAAGAAAAATCATGAACAATAAAAGTTTCTAAAATTGTCTATTTTTAAACTAGATAAAATTGGAAGAATTGCATGCCAGCTGGATTTTATCAGACTGGTACATTAGGTGCCCTGCTAATATTTAGAACATAAATTGAAACCAATAAATAATATAGTTAGAGAAGAAGAAAACTATGAATGCAAAATTACCCATAAATTATTGATGATCAAGATGTTTGAACACAGAAAATTATACAATCTTTTTAAAATAAATAATATGACTTGACTTGTTTTCTATAAGAGCCCATTTCTAAACACACAATTGTTGACATTATGAAATCAAATCAGCAAAAGAATAAATGATTGTATTTTTCTTATACAACAACATCAACAGTTTTTTGCTATGAATCAATAAAATGTACAACTGAGTAGACCAGACATTAAGGCTGCATGAGCCAAAGCACAAAGAGTGGCTGGTATGATGTTAAACACTTTGTATTAAAATATGGCTCTGATTGGATGATCCAGCTGCACAAGAAACAGTTTTACAAGTATCTGCTAGAATAAAAAAATCAAATTGGCAAACCAAAGTCAAATAGAAAATTGGTGGAAATAAATACAAGTAATATATTCCCGATTTCTAACTGAGCAGAGATCTCAGTTGGAAACCATCTAAACAGAAAAAGGGATGAGATTTTTGACAATTTCTGAGTGAGGATTATTTGAAGGATAGAATTTCAATGAAAATGATCAGCTAATTAAAGCAAAGTTTTTATTTCAAGGTAATACATGTACATATATAATATATATAGATGATAGATCTATTGATGGATAAAATGTTATTCAACCTGGATTAGTTCAAAAAGTAGTCTTGCTGTTGACTTCCTCTCAGCAGCAGTGGCAATTCTATCAGCACAACCACCTGAAATTTGAAAAAAAGATCATATACAGAAGTAAAAAAAAAACAGAAAATTACTCTTGGAACTGTCATTAGCTTGAGCAACTAATCTAGGCTGGGAAACATGATTTTATCAACCAAATTGGAAATTTGGGGAGAAGACAGCCATGAACTCCATCCTGATATTTTAAACTGGCCAGTCAAAATAAAAGTCACATACATATATGGGGTTAAATTTTAAACATTAGCATTGGCTTCATTTGACTAAGGTTTCAAAATGCTTACTTTCCAAACATCAAATAGTGTTTTCCCAATATTTTGGGAGTCATGAATTTCTGGCTAGATTACTGTTTCACCAAATAATTGTTTATACAAACAACTTTGGAGCCAATAGATTTCATGGAAAAAAATACAGGATTTTTCTCCTAGTTTTTGTTCTTCTCCAGCAGTTTAAGTGGATAAGTACAAAATCAGATGGCAAGAAATTTTCTCAAAATTAATATACAAGTGTCAATTCAACATTAAAATTAAATCTAACCTAACAAACTTACCAGAAATGAGTCCTTCACCATACTTAAGTCCAATTCTATTGTATTTTTCAATGAATAGAAGCACAGCAATTTTGCAAGGGCTAAGAACCTCTCGAATGGGTCCAAAATTATTATCTACGAGATTTGAACTCTTTGGTCTGTGATCAGTAGCAGCTTCCCGCCCAGACATTTTTACTCATACTTTGCCACAAATTATTATTATTTTATGACTGCATAACAGCACTTTAATATATTGCTAATATGTTATTTGCAGACTCTGAAATTGTTCCAATAGGTACTTGAATTGAACTTTTGAAGCAGAATGAAGAAACAAACATTTTTTTTAATTTTACATGTTTTTAAATTTGCAAATAATTTTTTCAAGTTTGAACTTCTTCTTCTTATTTATTCTTATAAGAGCACTGAAAACTGGTCCATGAAGCTCCTTGCCTAAACAGGGTGTAATTGGTGTCTAACAATTCAGAAATTCTGAAACATGGCAAGTAAAAAAATGGAAGAACAGAAAAAAACAGTGAAAAAGAGAAAAAATGAATGAACATCAAAAATAAATGAATAGGAAAAGAATAAAGTAAAATGAAAATATGGGACAAAAAATTAAAAAATATATAATAGAAAATGCAATAAAACGAGACAATGATACAAAGGAAACAGAAGAACTTGTGCATATTGTAACATACTGAGAGTGAGAGGTGAGAGACTGAGAGTGAGGTACCTACCTAAACAATACAAAATTGGAAGTTACTAATTCAGTATTTAGTATTTACTAATACTACTAATCTACTACAGTCAGATATCAGCCTATCAGACAAGTAATCATTTTAACAAATCAATATTTAATCCCATATTAGTTGTCATAAGTGACCATAGTGGCAAAGTAGAGAGTTTTTTAGACTCTCCCTCAATTTCAATTTTGAGTACTATAAGCAGACCAGTAAAGTATCATGGATACATAACAGCATTATCATACATAAGAAATTGGCTTATATATTGAGTAAATGAGGAAATTAAAAATGAACTGATTCTAAAAAAATCTCTGGTTTGCCACTATGCTCCTGCCTAGTGGCACTAGCCACTAGGCAGGCTTAACTTGCTTAACCTTAATAACCTTATGGCTTAAGTTAAGTGAGCTAGTTTGTAACTAGTGTCAGACTGTCTCTGTCAGTAGTGAGGTGACTGAAGCTTTGAGAAAAATCTTATGCTGTTTACTCATTGAGTCATTGTCCAAATTGCCCTAGTATAGGCCGGTATGACTGGCCCTGGGGCCCGGCATGGCTTGCCTCCTAGGCTTCTATTATAGGAGAGTGGATAAGTGAATCTGTTTTTCCTTAGAGATAGCCGAGCTCCACAGTCCACATTGACATAGCTAGTATTGGTGAGGGAGTAATCTGCCTCTGGGGACAGTAAGTACACAAACTACACATGTATGACTCTGAGTCCATGAGAATTGAGATGATGAGTCGTCCTGCCTCCATTGCTGTTTCCAGTCTTCCAGACTCCTGGGTTCAGAATCATCATTGGTGCAAAATCATGATTGGGCATTACAGCCTGATTCACTATTTTGGGGATTTGATTCATCTGGCGACTGACATTACCAAGCAGAGAGGATTAAGATGGAGAACTAAACCAGTTGACTTTCGTCAACGACTCGTACTCAACTCGTTGAACCTCGCGCTCGAAAGGCATCTTTTTAGTTTTTACCGGCCTAGCATTGTATACAAACGTTTCGACAAATGTGAGAACGTTTTCAGACGTTCAAAAGTACTTAAATTTTCTTGCGATAAAAAGAATTGCTGTGAAATGTAACAATATTAGAATTTTATATAATAAAATTTGCGGTTTCTTTAGATAACATATTTAGGAATTTTGAGAATAAAAATCAGACATTCATCTACTTCGACAAAACGATTGAAAGTTAATAAAGGTGCTTATACACGGGGCTATTAGTTGCGTCAACTACAGTTCTGCAAATTGGGAGCCTATACACGAGTATATAGTTTTCGGTACACTGCGCCCGCCGGCGGCCCGCGTCAGCGTCAGTGCGATGTTGGGAGTTGTCAAGTAAGTGTGTGCACGGTGGAGTCATGCGAGAGCAAGACAGCAGTGCGCGCTACAGTGGGCGAGAGAGAGAGACACCGGTAAGACACTTCTGCGAACTGGCCTGCGCACTTGAATGCAAAACCTAACTTCATTTTGAACTCTGCCAGCCATAAATCCATCAATAATCAGAGGTGGGCAGTAGCGCGCTGCATGTAGTAGCCGCTACATTTTTAGTAGCGGTAGCGGCGCTACATTTAAAGGTGCTTGTACACAGGGATAGTGCAGACGGCTAGTAAATCTGGCTAGTGTCGGTCGCTTGGTGACTATCCGGCAAGCCTGTACACACGAGGAGAGTAGAAGGTGCCGCTATCTTCTCGTTCGCGCCCGCCAGTGCGTCGTTAGAAGCCGTCGCGTGAGGTTTGCGAAGATGGATAGTGGGATCACCTTCAACAACTCGAGTCTGTACGTCGTTTTTATAATCTTTATTCTAACATTGAAAAATGCAACGTCGGGAACAACTAAACCCTGACAAATAAGGTCTTCTTCCAGTTTCAAAATACTCGTTTCTCTCATCATTTTGTTGGAGTAACCGTCATGGCAAACATTCCACTTTAATTCATATTTCAAAGAATAATTGAATATCGTCTGGAATCCATTTTGTTTTATTCCTCTTAGAAACATTATCGTTCAAACAAGCCATGATTCACTTGACCCAAGATACTTCACAAGAGCGGCACAGATACTCTCACCATGGTAGCATCAGCGCTACTAGCCAGTAGCCACTAGCCAGTCACTAGCCACTTCTCCAGCCAAGATATCAATACATCGTTGTCCCTCTCGGCCGCGTCTCGGGCACTTGCCGGCGCATGCCTCTGACGCGGCTGAACCCCTATACACGAGGCTAGTAGCGTGGACAGTTCAAGCGGCGGATGAACTAGCGGCTAGTACTATCCCTGTGTACAGGCACCTTAAGGCACTGTAGCGGTATAGCCCGCTACATACTTAATAATTTAAGTAACGATACGAGGTTTTACCGCTACAGCGCTACCGCTACATTTATAGTTAAAGCCTTTAAATTTTACTTAATGGTATTAAATATTATTTAAAAACCAGCATGATACATACATAATATAAATTACAGAATAAAACTGTACGAAAGATTTCGGTGTAATGTATATAGTCAACCTCAGCCTGTTACTAGTGTCAACATGTTAGTTGTTACTTGTTAAGTTGTTACCAGTTACCACTTACAGGTATTTTTTCATGTTTCAGTTTGCTTACAGTTATTTTTACACAGTTATTTTTATGTTTCACTTTCCCTACATGGATGTCTACTTTAATCAACCAATCTCAAAAATAATCCACATATATACAAATAAAAGACTGATTTTTTATATGTATATGCGGATAATTTTTGAGATTGGTAGATTAAAGTAGACATCCATGTAGGGTCGGGAAGGTGAGACATAAAAATAACTGTAACTTTTATTTGCTGGATCTAACCCGTACTAGTTCGGTTAGGTTAATTGCAATAAAGTTGCAGTGATATGTTTTGAAAATGTTCTATTATCATTGAATGTTTATGAGGAAATCCCAATAGCAGAACAATAAATAATTAGAGATTTCCAATAATTTTGGCAATTGTAGCAGCGCTACATTTTACTGTAGTGGTAGCGGTAGCGCTCGCTACAATCTAGTGGGTGTAGCGGTACTGCGGTAGCGGTAGCGCCCGCTACATTTAGAGCATGCAGCGGTAGCAGTAGCGGCCGCTACATTTCAAAGTAGCGCTGCCCAGCTCTGTCAATAATGAACGGATTTCATTCAAATTTGAAAATTAAGTAAATATTATCAATAATTTGTGGACGGATTTATTTCAGATTTTTACATCAATTACTTTTTTTTAATGCCACAAAACGCTGAAACTTGACCTGACTAGGACCTAACCTGCGAGGTAAACGTGAAGTTAGGTTTTCCGTATTAATAAAAAATATAACTCAGTACTCACTGCAGTGAGTGACAGAGAGCGCATTTTCTCGTCGGCGAAAACGTGAAGTCACGGACAGACGGACAGGCAGACGGACATGGCGAGCACAATAGTGCATTTTTTCCATAAATGAGGAAATGCGCTAAAAACTAGACTAAAAACTGAAAACAAAACTAAAAGCTAAACTAAAAACTAAACTAAAACTTTCGACTCGTCGACGAAAACGTGAAGTCACGGACGGACGGACAGACGGACGGACGGACAGACAGACGGACATGGCGAGCACAATAGTGCATTTTTCCATAAAGAGAAAATGCGCTAAAAAGTAATTGATGTAAAAATCTGAAATGAATCCGTCCACAAATTATTGATAATATCTACTTATTTTCAAAATTTGAATAAAATCCGTTCTTTATTGATGGATTTATGGCTGGCAGAGTTGAACGAGAAGTTAGGTTTTCCGTATTAATAAAAAAGTAATTGATGTAAAAATCTGAAAAAATTCCATCCACAAATTACTGATATTATTTACATATTTTCTAAATTTGAATAAAATCCGTTCATTATTGATGGATTTATGGATGGCAGAATTCAAAATGAAGCTAGGTTTTCCGTATTAACAAAAACTTAATTGATGTAAAAATCTGAAAAAATTCCATCCACAAATTACTGATATTATCTACTTATTTTTCAAATTTGAATAAAATCCGTTCATTATTGATGGCTTTATAGCTTCCAGAGTTGAACGTGAAGTTAGGTTTTGCATTGAAGTGCGCAAGCCAGTTCGCAGGAGAGTTCGCTGAAGTGTCGATTCGGTGAGAGCGACGCAGCTATACTCAATATGACGGCCGGGCCGCTACTGAGCGCAATAAGCCTTGAATAAGGTGCTTATACACGGAGCTATTTTCAAGTACACTGGATTATGAAATTATTAATTTGGTTCATCGTCGTACTAATCGTTAAGGCCCGTTCACACTAGGTGCAACACGAGAATCAAGAGCCTCAAAGCGCATGCAGAGGCGCTTTGCAGCCTCTGCATGCGCTTCTTGACCGATTGACGAGCTAGCGATTGACGGGGGCCATGCCTCAAGCAACACAAGCGCAGCGCTTAGTAGATAGCTATTAAAGAATTGATATCACTTGTATGCTTAAATTGCAAATTAACTAAGAATTTAAATTACATTAAAAATTTAAATCAAATTAAAAATTTAAATCAAATTAAAAACCTAAATTAATTAATTAAAGAAATTCAATTCGTTCTATGGTTTCAATGTATCGATTTGTGACTTTTGATTTGTGATTCTAGATTCTACGAACTGACGATGG